CAGTTCCTTCCCCATTTAACCAGTTAACAGAAACAGAATTCTTTTTGTAAGCTGCTAAGGATTGAAAAATTAACTGTTAAGACCACAGTTTACAAGAAGGTCTGTTTAAAAATATATTTTTCCTGTGGTAGTCTTCAGTTTTGCACCAATATAAGCACAAGGAGTTGAGTCTGACAGATGCAACTTTTGGGTGCTTTTATGCCTGATCTGAAATAATTAATGCAGAAAACAGAAATATATTCTGTAGTATTAAACAGGCTAAAATGTCACCATGTATGCATTACATGTAACGAATGCAAAGGAAGTCATTTTAACTTCTTGCATCGTATCCAGGGATGGTAGTTCTCAGATTTAAGAAATGGGACTGTACTGAAGCTGAAGTGCAAGCCACTTCTCAAATCAGTTTTGGTGATCAGTGAAAACTTTTAATAGTTTTGTCAAAATCATTACATTTTTGGTTGGAAATCACTTGACACCTCTCTTCCTTTTGACACCTAAGAAGTATGTTTTCAACAAGGTAGAGCCGTTCATAAGTGAACTGCTACCTAAGCTTTAACTCCCAAAGTTCAGTCAACAGTCTCTTCTGAAGAAATAATCTGCCTTGTAAAGTTTTGAAATGCTGCATAAAGCAAATTAATTCAATTTACTTAAGAAATTCCTGCAAGTGATAACTGGCTCTGTAACACCATATGTAATTTCCACAATGTTAATTTTGTTTTTTGAAATGTTACGACTTTTTTTTATTAAGTTTTGCAAAAAAATTCAATTTGGTAATGTTTGAGTGCCAAGAAATGAACTTGATTTGTAATCCTCAATGCAAGTATTTAAAAATCCATGCTGTAACAATCCTGTTATTAAATAAACAGATAACACACAAAATTAATTATCCCAGAAATAACGTTTTGAACTGACTTGTAGTTCAGGTGGCAGGACTTAAAATGCTCTTACAAGTTAATAGTAGAACTACCTATGTTTGTACAGCCTTATGTGTATTTGCACTTGCCCTCATGTAATTCTACATTGTTAGTTCTTGTACAAGTGCATAAGTAATAGTGTAGACAGGCTGATAGTGGCTGTTAATGGTTTTTAAACAATCCATTGTCTGGAAATGAACTAAAATACTTAAAATGCTACTGTTACTGCCACCATTGAAAGAAATTATGAGGAAGCAATGGGAAAAGGCCTAATGAAGGCAGCAGCTGAAAAATTCCCAGATTGGTTTACAAATGTCTTCTAGTTCACTTTATTTAAACTAGAAATACTTTTGTCATCAATGAACAAATTTCACCTAACTTTAAAATAACCTGCTGTCCAGTGAAACACAATCATGGGGGAGAATAACCACTGTAGCCAAATTCATATTAGTAAATGTTTGACATGAATACCTGACCTGTGTGTGGTACTACTGTAAATAAAACATAGTATTCTATGTGAACAGAGTTTGTCAATAAATTACTTGGGTTTTTTAGTAGTCAGTTTCAAATTTCACTTAGTGGAATAGATGGGTAAGGGGGGTGTATTCTGATGTAAACATAACAAAACCTACATAAAACTTGCCTTTACCCTATGCTTTATGGAGGATTCACTTTGAAAGATGCTAGATTGGATACTGCAAACTCAGGTCCCTGCTTCATGGAATACAGCAGGGGAAACAACTCGTCAGTCTGTTGTGCCCCTGTTGGTAACTTGAATTATTTTGAGTATTTTTTTCACAGATAAATACTTCAGCTATGAGAGCGATTGCTACCTAGCGTTTTCTGTAGATACTGAAGATCTCAAATGCATCTGCATTCTGACTTGTTGCCAGTTAAACTCTGTGCTTTGAGGTGAAAGCTAGATGATGACTACTTCAAAGTTTAAGAGAAAAACAGAGCAGACCACCTGAATATGATTTTACACCCAGTGACAATGCTTAAACTAGCGAAGGTGCTTTCAGGCTGTGATAGTTTCCTTTTAGTTTATTTGCTGTACGCCCTTTCATCCTTTACCTCTTCATTGATACCTGAATGTTGAATTCAAGTCTTCCAGTTTTTGTGGCCCTAGATGCTCTACAAATGTTTTTCTTGGTGGGTTTTTTGGTTTTGGTTGGGTTTTTTGGGGGTGGGGTTTTTTTGTTTGGGGTTTTTTTTGGAAAAGAAATATCTGGCACAAATAATTTTCTTCTTGCACTTCCAAATCACACATTTGTAGGCATATTAATTAATATTAGTTTCTACTTGTATACATTTTAATAAGCTATGTCTCCTATTACCTGAACATACCTGTTTTGGGGTATATGAGAAATGAGACCAGGCTAAGAAAGAATACTTGAATTTTCAGTCACCCTTGATTCTCAGCCTGAGTGTTCAAATGCTCAGTGGTGATACCCTGTAGTGTCAAGAAAAGTGGTTGTGTCCAACTGTTTTCTTTGGAAAGAGTCAGGGAAGGGTTTGGATTGCTCGGGGTTGGTCAGAAGGAGGCATGGACTAAATTTTTTGGGAGTTTCTGGATCTTACTAAAAATCTTGTATGCAAAGAATTTAATTCCTTTTTTTATTTTGTATTTGTAAAAATAAATACAAACCTTTTAATACTTGATCAAAGTGGGTACTAATGCTTTTTTTTTTTAAAAAAAAAAAAGCTGAAATTTGTGGATATGTTTATCTGCACTCTTTGGAGATGAAGGATAAAAGGCAGGAGAGAGATCAGACATGAAATCTGACTTACACTGCTCCTAAGAGTTTATTTGCTGCAACCAGAAAGTAACAGTCAAATCTGATCTTTTGTATTTCTTTGGAGGCTAACATGGGTTTGTACTGGTATATTTTGTTCCCAGGTGCATGTTTCTGTATTGCTACAATGGTTCTGTCACTTAAGGAGCAAGGTGGCTATAGTAAGTGAATGAACTTAACTTTCCCTTCTCTTCTACCCTTTCCACATCAAAGTTGTGATTCTTCCTCCACGTGCTTTCTCTAGGATAGTGCTGATCACTACTGCAGCTTAAGGGAAAGTAACTAGAAACACAAGCTGGTCCTGAGAGCTAACAGGATTTGTAGAGCTTTTTTTAAGGTAGGAATGATTCAACTACTTCTTATTTTTTCTTTATATAATGGAGATTAAGATAGAGATATCTCCTTATCAGGCAGATAAGTGGGACCTAGAAACTGAAATGAACACTAACAACTCCATGTAGTGTTTAATAATATGAAGAAACTGTGGCATATAGGCAGCAAGCCACTATAATTTTTCACTATTGAGCTCTTGATTGGCACTGCAAATAAAGCCAACATCAAGTTGATCAACATCAAGTAAAAAACAAAACAACCCCACCCCCCCCAAACCCAACAAACCACAAAACCAACCTACCTAAAAAAAACAACAGAAATTCCCCACCCAACTATAGAATATCTGGATTCTTGAGACTTACTAACATTTCTTATAACCTCTCTATTCTTCTCAGAGGCTGGGTGGTTTTAAACCAGCTGAAGTTCTATGACTGTTACAGCTTTAGAGATAGTGATGAGTTAGCACATTCAGGTAACTAAGATTAAGGCCTCTCCCCTTGTGGCTGCTCTGACTGCAAAACTGTATTGTCTATGAATTCTTGAAAACAACACTGCAGCCAAGCCCCAAAGCAATCAGTCACCTCATAAATCAGACTGATGACTTCATTATGTGTTTGCACTGGGGCAGGGAGGGTCCCTTAATATAAAAGTATTGAGCCACCCAGGTACTTTACTTTATTCGATGTAAATTAACTAGTTCTAAGTAATTCAAATATGGGCTTGTACTACAAATATTCTTGGTAACCACACATGGGTTTTGGTGTTGTTCAGGTGACTGGGCTCTAAGTACTGTGGCACCCATACTACCTAAGCGACCCATGGGAAGGGGCTTCAGCAAGGTGGTGTACTCTGTGCTTGATTCCAGGTGTGTAAGCAGCTGTAGTGCCCAGTAACATAGAGGGGAGGTTGTGTTTCAGAGCAATAAAGCAATACTGCCTTTAAATGTAGATGTTGCTATTCTACCAACTCTCAAAGTATGTTCTCACTTTCATGCTGTCTTTACGAGAAAATGAGGAAGCTATGATCCCAAATGTTGGCTAGGCCATAAGCAGTAGGATCACTTTTTCCTCTTTCATGAAGTGGAGCTTTTGCATGTTGCCCTATCTTAAGTCTGACCTTTTTAATTGCAAATGCACTATATGTTCTCTCGCGTTTCCTGGTCCAGATACCCTTGTGCTGCTGTTCTACCCACAACTCTTAGGCTTCTAAAATTAAAAAAGCTTCCATAGACATGCTTCGACTCTTCTGGTATAATATACTATCTTGTAACTATAGATTAACTATAGATAACTCTAGAGCCTACAGAACTAGTGCCAGGGTATACCTCTGACAAAGATTCTAGATAGCACAGATGCATCCATGTAATTCACAGGACTGAAGAAGCTGAATGAGCATCACTCTCTAAGCACACAGAAGGCATAAAAAAGATGCATCAGGTTGATTTAAGTTTTGAAAGGCTCTATACTCTTAACTCTTCAAAAACTGAATTTGTTCTGTATTACCACATTAAAGCTAGAAAGCTTTTTTGCAACGTGCCTCCATACATCACCAATAAGAAGCTTACATAGTAGGGCTTAATCATTCTACTCATTTATTGTGAATCTTCTGCAGCTTCCTTCAAAGCAAACCTGTTCAGAAAAAAAATGTTGATTGTAGGTTGGTTGTCCTTACCAACTTACGCAGTTTCTTTGTTAGGATGAAGTCAAACTGAACAGCAGCATCCATCTTCTGTAAGAAGAACTTGTTTCAAATATGCTTTTGCTCATCTTGCTGCAGGTTATGCTGTAGAATACCTGGCTGCTGTTTTCCTCCTACAACGCCAAAGGTTGTTAAAGGAGGGGGAGACATCTCCATCTTTGGACTTTGAAATTAATCTTTTCTTCTTATTGTGCATATCTTCTTGTGAATGGTTCTTTGAGTAAGGCAGAATATCTAAAAATCTCTTCAATGGTATAACTTAGCTGCCTTTATTTGAACTCTGTGGGTATATTTTGAGAATGAAACTATGGTATTGGGCAGTCTGTGAGCTGCGTAGTAATGCACAGTATAAAAACATCTTCAAGGACATCTCTGAGTAACAGAGTCTAAATGATATGTTGTTTTAGGGAGACATTCTCTTGTCACAACTGCAGCCATTTTATAATGTAGTAATTTTTCTTTCCAATCCTAAGCAATGATACTCCATTCTTGAGAATATGCTGTCCAAGAATAAGAACAGTCTCGGGATTAGTTACTCGAATCCCATTTATTGAAACTCCACCATCTGTAATTTTCTGGTACCTTAAAAAAAAAAACCAAACAAAAACAACTGGTAATTGCAAGAAGCAGCTATTTCTTGCTGTTAAGTATTGAAAGTTCAGCTAAGGGGTTTTTGGTTAGATCCATAACTGAATAAATGTTAATTCTCTTGCACTTTACTTTCAGTCCAGGTCAAGAGTGAATGAAACTAACCTTAGCGTCTCCACTCCCATTCTTTCTGCGAGGTATGAGGAAACTTAGGCTGTTGCCTTAGACTGTCCATCAGGTTTAGATTTTACAGCTAAGATGCATGACACTGCATTATCACTTTCACTTCAAAACAGAATAAGGACGCCTGTTCTCCTCCTCTTTAATGCTGGTATGTAGATTGCTAGCCTGTTCCTACTTGTTTGCCTGTCCTAATAGTTCAACTTCTGAAAGCATATTCCTATAATCTGTTTAAGTGAGGTATTACCGAAGAGCAGAGGTGATAACATACCCACTAGGTCCAGGTGGAATGGCATTTGCCTTGCGACACAAGTCGACAACGTTCATCCCAGGTTCAAGCATCAATTCAGCTGAAGGAGCTTGTCTAAAAAGTTCCTGCAACTCTTGGTCAGACATAGCTTCCAATGCCTCCACACTGCTGTAATAAAGGGCCTTAGTACACCTATGAGAACAAAGATCATTTAAAATACAGTGCTAGTCTCATCTTCACACAAAGGGCTACTCAGCTAATCAGATTCCCTCCCCAACTTCTTCTGAGGGTCCACACAGTAACAGAAATACTTAAAGTACACCTCAATTTTTTTTTTGTCGTAACCCACTGCACTGCAATTTTTTAAATATTGTTAATGTATTTTTAAGTATTACTACAATTTTCTCTTTTAACAGCTGAGCAACAACCAACTATATGAAAATGGTACCTGAAAAGCTATGGATAATTACCATTGAATAAATCTGAAAGAAAACTGCTTGACAAATCAAACTTCACCTCTTAGCAGATTCTAGCCCCTCTCTACCATGAACAAGCTTGGTTACTTCTGCTGCAAGTCGTTTCTGAGGGCCCCATTTTTCAGGTTCTCTAGCATGCATTTTCATGATGTGGTCAATCTCCTCCAGAGGAAGGAAGGTGAAGAGTTTCAAGTACCTACGAGCAAGGAAAGAATTATTTTGTCTATATAGCCATCATTACAGACTTCCTGCCTTTGTCATTCCAACTTTGTTAACTACGCTAAAATGATTCTTAATCAATGTAAGAAATCTGTATTACAGATATTCTGTCCTTTCAAACAACACTTTGGTTTTGCCCACATGTTTCAGCTCACCAGGATAACTCACGTTTTATTTAATACTCCAGTTCAGGTAATGTCTTCAGACATGAGACAGCGTCAAATCCTCTTATGAAGCTTGTATTGCAATCAACAACTTGGTGTTCTGTTGGAACATTTACTTTACAGCATTTATTGCACTTGTGCACCAACTAACAAGGTTTTATATTCTTAATAGTTGCACATATGCCAATGCAAAATATCATTGCCATTCTGTGATGATCACAGGACAGAAGTACGCTATGTATTAACAAGTATCTTAACAGGAAGATTATTTAGGATAATCAAGAATTTAAAGGTGTATATCTAAGCACAGCCCAATTTAACGGGCTTGCAGTAGTATGAAATGCACTGTATTCAAAGAAGAAAAGGTGCTTTTAGTGTTACAAAGTCTGAACACATGAAACAATTTAATGGTAAGTACCCACATACCCTTCTTAACAGTCTTAAAAGTCTGGAAGAACCTAAATTTGAGTATCAGGGCATAAACATAGATGTATTGGGAGTGCATGCTCAAAATTTTTACTGATAGGGGTGCATGATTAAAAAAAAAATTGGATACTGCTAATCTAGACAGCTGATACAATCATAAATAGGAACTCCTTGGCTTTTTCCTAACAAGGCAGTATTCCAGTTCTCTTAGGGATATGCAGTTTTCAGTGTGATGCAGTTCTAGAAGCTGAACTTGGATGTGTTTGTCTACAACTAGTGAAGTAGCTTCTTGCAATTAGAATGTGTTTTTTGATACCTCACACTAGTTAAAAACTTGTAGTAATTTATAACTATTAAACTGCAGTTGCTTATTACTCAGCAGGAGAGATTTCTTTCCATGCTGTGATGTTACAGTACTGAAACTAAAATACCTCTTAAGATAAAGTCACCTCAGTGGTAGAATAAAGTGTGTTGTGCTTTGTTTGTCCATCCACATTTGAATTCTATGATGTGCATACCAGCATGTGGAGACAGGTTCCACTATCCTGTACACTTCTGAACCAGTCACGCCTGTTTATTTAATGAGTGTACAGATATAATTAACACACACTTCTACCAGGAGATCGCACTGCACATACCCACACCTAACAGTTACAGAGAACTGTTAGGATCAGGTTTTATAAACAATGACAAAAAGCAGGATGAAGAAAAACTACTTACTTTTCAACTATGTTATCATGTTGTCTGACAAAAAACTGATATAGCTCAAATGGAGAAGTTTTATCCCTGTTTAGCCAAACTGCATTGCCAGCAGTCTTTCCCAGTTTATCTCCAGTAGTACTGGTAATAAGAGGTACAGTAATTCCAAACACATCTGTTCCTGTCATCCTAAGAAAGAGAAGAGTCATTGCATGTTAAAAAAATAAAAAATTTTTTAAAAAGTCACATCTTGGTAAAGTTAACTAAAATACAGGCATCCTGTAATATTCTATCCTTGGTATAGAGCAGTTAAATAAGAGAGGGAGGTGAGGGGTAAATGATGGTACAACACGGTTTTGTGAAGAGTGCTTTAAGAAAAAAATAAATCCTTGAACTTGAGGTTTACATACTTTAAACTGACCTGGACAGGCTGGAGAAGTAGGCCCAAGTGAACCTCCTGAGGTTCAACCAGGCCAAGTAGAGGGTCCTGCACCTGTATGTTTTGCCTTCTGCTCTGAGCACTAACTGAAGCTGCTTGCATTGCTAAGGCACCTGCAAGGCTTTTCTTTGGTGCTGACTCTCTGATGTCTTATAATAGTCAAACACATACTGAAGTAGAAGCATTGCCACCTTCTCACTGATTTGCTCGTATATTTCTGCAGATTTCATATGACTCACACCAGATTTGGTGGATCAGCAGAAGCTCATCATCATCATGTTTTGTTTTATTTCTAAGAGAAGAAATGCAACCATCTTTACCAGTATACCACACCTGCTGGTACTCCAGTGGGATTACACCAAAGCGAGTTTGCCAGCAGAAAACTTGTCTCAATTTTGTCCCATGTTTCAGGATATCTGATTTCAGTTCTTGGGCTTTAGTTTCACTAAAACAAGGACCCATCCTTTCTGTTAAAAATGCATTAATGTTTCACAGAAAAGGCTTAAAACCCTGGCCAAAATGTGCCAGGCTCATGGTCAGGACAATTAATTCTTCTCAAACCCCCCAGTTCTGCCTGATGACAGCTGTCCGAGGGGTGACTTCTGCTCCTGCTTTACGGGCCAAGACATTCAAGGTCAGGCTGGACAGGGCTCTGAGCAACCTGACTGAGTTGAGGATGTCCCTGCTCGCTGCAGGGGCGTTGGACGAGATGACCTTGGAAGGTCCCTTCCAGCCCAAACCGTTCTACGATTCCCTAACACGGAGCTGCACGGAGCCAGGACACGGGACGCGCCCAGCCTGCGCGCCGCCCCCGGGGCCGACCCCCGCGGAGAGAGAGGGGAGGGAGGACC